GAGACCATCAGGAATCACCCACTTCTTGCCAGTCTCCATGAAAGTAATTTGGTCAAGCTTCTGCAGCTCCACAGCAGCCATGGATGTGATTGAATGCAGTAAAGCTATATGAATGCTACCCAGCTAGTTGCTTGAGTTCACAGGACATGTACATGATTATCACACTCAAGTGCATTCATGAAGAACAAAACATTCATGACCTTTTGCAAGGCATGTAGCCTGACACAACATAGTTCTCTCAGTTCAACAACATCATGCATTTGTCCACAAGCCATTTGCCACTCCCACTTACATGTCATGAGCACATGCGCATTCTCTATAGCACAGCACATTTTTATTCAAAACAATGGGTTTCTACCTATGGGCCTCTCTCAGTACCATGCCCACGCTAACCATCAGCTATCCTTGTCCTTGGGCTCCTCTTTGCAACCCCGCTCTTTGCCATGATCAGGTTCTGAAGCAGAGTCCCAAAACCCCAAATCCAATGTCTTTTCAGACAAGGAATCATCCATGTACTTCTTGGCATCAGACTTGGCCATTGGTGTGGGTTCCAGCTTGGCACCAGTCTTTTCCTTCACATCCTTCATCACACCACTTGAAGTAACAGCTGCAGGCTTCTTTTGAGTTTTAACCATGGCTTTGCACTTCAGTGGTAAGCTTGATACACTCAAAACATGAACAATCATTGGAATGACCTGCATATGCTGGACATGCTGCCACACCAAAAAGCATAGCATGAAACTGTATGGCATGTCATGGCTGTACACCCTTGACCTCCACATGAAAGCCATTTGGCCTGGATGACACACATGACTCATGACATGCGCACATCTTTGTCACAAGCATGAAAGAAACTGACATGACATGACATGACATGACAGTATTTGGCATGAGATGTCATGGTACATGACATGGTATGCCTCTTTGGCACAACAAAAAAGCCACTTGGGCTTGAAGACTCACATGTTTGCTGTTTGCAAATACTTTTTGACTCTTCGCATCTTCAAAAACTCAACCAATACTGCATGGCTGCAACCTCACCCCAACCAAGCACCAAGCTCAACAAGCTCAACAAAGAAACAAAAGCTCACATGTTGACATCAGCAACCCAACACTGATACATGAATACATTTGGTTGGTATAGCACTATGTTGCATGCCCATGCATCTAGACTCTATATCATGCCCTCTTGGCTCTCTTTGCATCAGGCATTCTAGGATCACTTTTCTTTGTGACTTTCAAAGTCAATGGATCATGAGCAAGGATAGGGGCTGGATTGACCAAAATGGTAACCTCAATCTCTCCAAGCTCAGTCTTGAAGGTCAGAGTCTTCTCTTCCAAGTTGCCATCCTCAGCCCCTGTAGCACAAGCCCAATATGGTGCAAAGGTTCCTTTGATGGTTTGATCAGGATCTTCAGCTTTGGGAAGCTTGATAGGTTTCATGGCACTGATCCAAAAGCATGTCGCTTGAAATTTGCACTTTCCAAGCCTGACATTTGCAAGGTTGGGCTCTTTCAAGGACAGTGATGATGGTGCTTCTGGGCATGGAATGAGCTTCAAGCTCTTGGCCTTCATGTCCTTCTTGGCAAACACCACCATCTTGGGTTGCTTTTGAACAAGGATATCACCAACATCTACATCTTCTGTGTTGTACACCTCCATGAGGGCCAGAAAGCACTGACATTTCACTATCTCCTGGGAATTGGGTGATGGAAACAAGTTGCTGAGTTCATCATCACATAGAAGTACTGGTGGCTTGGACTTGGTACCCTTCACCTTTTCAACCAGTTCCTCAGCACTCATTTTGACAGTGGTCTTCTTGGATGGCTCCAACAGTGGGTAGAAGACAAACACAGCCTCAGTTGATGAAATACTCTCTAAAGTCCACACCCTGTTGTCAAAGTCTTTGAGGGTGTAGTGGCTGCCTGGCTCTAAGCCCAACTTTAGCTTGGCAATGAACATGCTGTCTTTCCCCTCATCCAATGAAATTGGAGTTTGTGAGGTGGTCTGTTTTTTGGCAGCTGAGGGTGAACTGGCACTTCCCAATTCTGCATGGCCCTTGGTCAACTCTTGGTTGAAGAGGTCTGAAATGTCTTTCAAGGAGTACTTCTTTCCTTCAGAGCCAGACTTCTCCTTCTTGAAGATCATTAAAGTGGCCCTGATTGCTGCAATGCCAAACACCTTGTAGACATCAGCTTTCTTCTTACCACTAGCAATTTGGGACAAAGCACTGTTCCATGCCATTTCCAAAAATGCCTCTACCTCAAGGATCATGGTGAGATTCTTGGGGGACTTGAGGCCAGTGATGTCACTCTTTGTCACTAGCTTAGCCACCCCATCAGTGCACTTACCCACAACCACATTGGTGACAATAATGGCACTTCTGATCATGGTGAAGAACTTGGACTTGGAAAGGTTCACCTCTGTCAAGGTATTCATGCACTCTTCACCAATGGTTGCATTCTCACCAAATGCCTTGCCCATGTGCGCCAAAAAGTCAACAAGACTTCCATCAGCTCCACCTGCAAATACCCACAAAAATGAACAGCCATGAATGAACACTCATGAACAAACTTTAACCATGAAAACCTCATGAACCAATGAATGCATGTGAGTAGTAACATGAGCATTCATGAGCAATGAGTGCCACTGGTGCAACACTCATGAAGAGTGCACGCATGCAATACAACATCAATAATTGCATGCCTCCATGCCTTTGCACATACCTCCCCACCATAGGTGCATAGCTCTTGATGGGGCCACCAAGGCAAAGTCCATCAGCAATTGCAGCAAAGTCATGCTTTCCATCTTTTGAACTTACATTCTTGACATGACTCACCACAGCTGACATGAGCTGGATTTCATTCTGTGCCTCATATGTGGCATTGGTGCTGTTACATGCAGCTTCAATCAATGCTGGGAGTTGGGGGGAACTTGTCCTCCACAATGGACAAAATGATTGTCCAAGTCCACCCTGTCTGGACCATTTTCTGCAAAGAAGGATCCTTTGCAAACAGGTGGCTTCCCAAATGACCATCTTGGCTGGCCAACTTAGCTTGGGGGGGTCCTGCAAGAGTTCTTGATGGATTTCATGAACTGAGTAGTGTGCCCTTTGCTGACTGTCATGAACCGCTCTGCACCAGAAGGAATGGCAAGGAGCCCTTCACTTGCAAGTGCAAGGTCCTTGGTAAACTTGATTTGTTCATCCTTCTTTGCTGCTGACATCTCAAAAGCAACAGACCCTGTCAGCTGGGAAAGGTCTGCACCCATGGCGCAAATCATAGACCCCTTGGCATGACAATTCCATGCATTTATGCCAAACCCTCCCCTGTTTGAGGGGTGCACCACAAACAGCTCTGGTGGCAGCTCTTGCTTGTATGCCAATCCATTTGACAAGAGTATTTTCTCAATTTGTGCCCATTTGTTGAGCAGCCCCAACCCTGAGAAGATGATGTTCTCCACATCCTCGATGACATCGCTGCTGATCATGGTGAAATCAGCAGAGCAAAACACAAATGCTACTTCAAACTCTGGTTTGTGCAAGACACACTGCAATCAAATGGTTGACATGTCACACATGCATGCAATGCAGTGACAATGAGGTTTGATGGGCAGCAATGAAACAATGTACATGAACCTCACAAGTGTTGAGCAGGCCATGATATGACATGAGCAGCCTTGCATATGCCAAATACAGGTGGTTGCAAGTGACAATTCAAACCACATGACAATTAAGTGGTTGCAAGTGTTCTCAATGCTGCATGATGCACATGGGTTACTACACAAAATGCATGTCAAAAGGCATTGCTGAAGCCTCAATAGGCCAAACAGAAACACATAACAATGACAAAACCCGTGCATGAAATGTTGCATGAATTATTGACCCAGGGCTTAAGGCATGCTTCTTTTCACACATCATACATCAGCTCATTACCAATCCATGGACATCAAGTCCAATATATGTACAATGACACCAGCTTGATACCTGGTGAAGCCCAGTTGATCTTCCAATCCTCTGGCAATGGTGATCCTGAACACTGTCGCAAATGGTTTCCCACACAAACTACTTATACATACTTTCATGATATGTTAAAACTTGATTTTAAAAACTCTTCTATATGCACAGTCCAAACCACCTTTCTTCCCAAAGGTTCTCATATTTGGCTGAGAGCCACCATGTACCATGCCAGAAGCCAATGCTAAAGCGAGGTTGTCCTTCATGCCACCACTGCATTTTCATATGTGCTGGGAAGAGGGCAAGCAATGCCTCTTCAGATCTCAAGGGCCAATACTGCATGCTGGCAGACATTGGATCTGCATTGCCCATGGCTGAGTCCATGACAAACAATGACAAAGTGAAAGGCAGCTGCAACAAATATTGAGCACAGAATCTC